CGTACTCTTCGAAACCCAAACTTTTAAACAACTGTTGGAATCCGTGTACATGGCATTTCGCACCGAGCTTTAACGAACAAGGGTAGTCCTCGGGTGGAAAGGCAAATCTTCCAGGTTTCATTGCGCCAACAACCTGAAAACAAATCAAACAAACAATTTTAGAACTTCTTATATACGACRAGTTGTACTAGTATTACTACTCTTACTAGAACTACTGGGACAACTACGGTTCTAYCTGTACTGATTAAGTAGTACTACTAGTAATATTGGAACAACTAGCACAAATACGAAGTAGTGGGACTTCAGTTGTGCTAGTTGTCCGGTTTTATTAGTAATACTAGTAATATTGGAACAACTACTATTACTGATAAAACCGATACAACTAGAACAACTACGACTCCTAATATCTCCTTTTATCTCCTAAACAACTCCAAATTCAACAAAACACAAGCTCCTATTCTACAAATTCAAGTCATTATGCCAAATTCAAGTCATTACTACAAATGAAACTATCCTACTAACTAGTACAACTAGTATAAATAGGAAATACGGTACAACTAGTATAAATYGCAAATTTTCACAAAAATCATATTACCCTTTGCGGKGTTGAACCTTCRTGACCGGATACCGGAGCCGGAGGCTGAAGAGACGGCTGCGGAGGCGGCACAGCCGCCGGATCTGGAAACCSTAGTTGCAGATTCGACGGAGATTGAGACCGCTGTTGCTCTGCATCATCTGGACTTGGCGCCGCCGCACGACTCCGACAWGAGGAAGAAGATCCCGAGAGAGCACGCGGCGGAGGAGGCGGAACCGCCGTAGACGTTGACGGTGGCGGTGWGGTTTTCTTGCTTCGGACATTGCGAGCCTCGCTTTGCGAATCGGGRTTCGAATCGGGCGCTTTTCGTTTATCACGAGACCCACCTCCTCTAGAAGTATTCGCCGGCYYCGGCGGTTCRTTCGCCGGAGGAGGTTTCTTCTCGGRGACCTTCCTTGGGGATTTRCGGGTAGTAGGCGGCCCCATTATC